AACACAGATCTTATTTGTTCTTTACCCTAAAAAATTCTGTATTAAAAGTAGGCGCAGTGACATTAACCCCAAAACGATAACTTAAAGGTGAATGTTAAGATTAATTTTGATTTAATTTCCTTGTCTTGTGTATAAATTGGTACCTTTTTTATATGTCATTAGTTCACTTACGGGAGTTTTAAGGAAAAATTTGGTCGAAGACGCTGAGGAGAAATTATCTTGAAGGTCATAGTCGATCTTTGTGCAAGCATTTATAATTTTTTTTTTTTTTTTTTTTTTTTTTTTTTTTGAATAACAAATGAAAATCATATCTAGTTAAGTATTCTGCTAAAATTGTCATATTGATATTGTAACATTTTTCAATGTTCATTGTTAAGATACCCTCAGGTGAAACATTTCACGATTATTGAACGTCTGCATAAATTGTTGTATACATATGATATATCAACCTTCCTGTACATTTTATCGTCTCATCTCCACTTGCTGAAATTTAAACAATGTCCTACTTGTGCCAAAGGAGTGTTAAAAAGTAGAGGTGACTTTCAAAAGTCATATGCATGGCCGTAGGAACCGGGGGGGGGGGGGGGCGTGCCCCCCCCAATAATTTTGCGGATATATGGATTACTATAGTAACATAGATACTCTATGCTTGTGCCCCCTCAATAAAACGCCTGATGACCTTTTTTTTTGTTTTGTTTCGTTTTTTTTTTTTTTGTTTTTGTTTTTGTTTTTTTTTTGTTTTTTTTTTGTTTTTTTTTTTGCTTGTCAGGAAATTTTTGGTAGTGCCCCCTCAACTGTCAACTGAAAAATGTTTGGCTGTGCCCCCCCCCCCCAACTTAAATTGCTTCCTACGGGCCTGATATGTAGTCATATATAGCATTTTACTTTGTCTTTTGATTAATAAATTCCTTTCACTTTGTTAAGAGAGAAATTCCCATTGATGAAACTACGTCAAAGGGTAATGCATCTACCATAGAAAGAAACTATTTTCTTAGAAGTTTTTAATGCTGTGTCGCAAGGGAAATAAATCATTTTTTTGAAGTTTGATTGAAGGGGAATGTTTGAAGAGTCAAACCACAATATCTGAGAATAAATGAATACTTTGTTTGAAATTGGTTTGTTGATTGAAATTCATTACCACATTTTCTGAGGGGAAACACACTTTGTGAAACAGAAAATCCATAATTCAAATCAATCGTGTTTGTACATGTTTTATTTAACTGATACCTTACAATAACGATCGTAATTCTTAATGAGACACCAATACTATCTTTGAAATGGGGCAATTAATTACCAAAATATTTTTTCATTTAAATTTTCATCATGGACAACATCTTGTGAACAATTGAGATAAAGAGAAAAGGAAAAAAATTCTATTTTACGCACTTTATCATGGGAAAAAAGTAATGCTACATGTTTATACCCATGATGACCATGATGCTGAATCCAAAAATCCCTTTTCTCCATAATGATATGATATTGATATGTATTCTACTGACAACTTCAGTCCGTCATTTTATATTTTTTTAAATTATCGAATAAGTCTACTTAATATCTTTTAAAAAAGAAATACGATTTATCTTTGAGCAACTACTTTAGATTTACGATGAATTTAAGAAAATAAATCTAGTATCCCTAGGCCAAGTTCTGTATTTTTTTTCTTTTCGTTTTTCTCTAAAAGAGCTATATCGGCTTTCCAGCTTACTTCTCCCAAAGCAAAAAGATTTCTTTTATCTTACTTTCACTGTTGTCGGTATAAGACCTTTACGAATAAAAGAAGTGTTGCAATGCAAAAATAAATCACAAAAAATACAAAAAAGAAAGAGTCAATAGCCTTTGTACTCATTTCTTCAGTTTTGCAAGAGGATTGAGAACTTTGACTCGTATTACTGCTTTCCCGAATCATTTCATGAGGAGGTAACTTTAATTCTGCAACGCTGGTCTCTCGAAATTTTTGGGGCTTGATTTTCCGAATATTGGCCCATGCTTTCGGTATCTTTTTAAAATATTTCATCATGGGATTTTTTCTGGTGTGATGGCTGTTGATGCTATACGTAGTGGCAACAGTAATTAGGGTGCTGTAGATAAGCATGACCATCAAATACATACAGAAGATGGAAGTTGTATTGCTAGTTTGCGGCATTTTGTCAGCAATCAACGTCATGTAGACAGCAAAGCTCAGAAGAACAGTCATTGCAAAGGACATACGTTCTCCACTGTCCACCGGAAGTTTGAAAACTATCACGTTCACAAGACCCAGAAAGACAACTGGTGATACTACACTCATCATGTGAAATAGCATTCGCCTTTCCAAATCGATGGTAATCACAACGCGTTCAACATTTTTTGTGTCTAAGAATTCTACTTCAGACTGAATATTTCCAACAATCCATTCTCCATTAGTTTCAAAATTTACAATATCTACCTCAGGTAATACCATTCGTAGTTTTGAGGCTGACATTAAGGTGGATAGATAAATTTTACAATGATGGATATCATTCGGATAAAAAGTAATGTCTGACGTGCACGTTGTTGTCAAGACTTCCATGAAAAACAACCGAGCTTGTCCATTACTAGAAAAATCAACCTCTTTTGTTTCTGGATCTCCTTTGTAGATACGGAATTTCTCTGCACAGTTCAAAAGATAGAGATTTGGAGACCAAATGCGAGATAGTGGAAAGTTCAATTCGCTGATATTTCTATTAGATTGTGGATCCCAAGATAAAATTTCGTCTTTCCACTGCAAAGTTATAGCTGTTACTAATGTCATATGACCATCCACAACATCGAATTTGTTGAGAGCTTTGAGACTTATATCCATTTCTAGCTTAATTATTTCGCTTTGGTTTCTTTTCGGAATAATATACCTTGAATAGCCATCAAGTAATGATTTTGTCATATTTAAAACATCATTATAATCTTTACAAAAAATTCCAGACAGAATACTGACCAGCATAAAACATTTCAATATTGCAGTTCCAAGTACTTCCATCTTCATTGAACAACAGCAATTACAGATTGAATGTATCGCACTTTCGTTGGGGAATTTATGGAGCTACTACCATTGATCAACTAGGAATGAAATCAATAATAATAATAATATGTAATATATCACAGTGAAATCATTAAGATACTTATGGCCTAAATTATGGATTTATTTGATTTGTATGTATATATTGTTGTACAGGGTGTGTAACTTTTGGTTGTCCATCTGTGAAGTAATGAAATCAGCAATTAAGGAATTTTAAATACCCTCAAACTTCATCAATAATAAAGTGGCTATTAATGCTATATCTTGTCACAGTATATCATTATAATCAATCATACTTTTTGAAGAGAAATATGAAAATTTTGAATGTATTTCTGCAATATATGATTGGAAACGCAGCGCATCAAATCTATCAAAAATTGATCAATAAATACATTTTTAAAAAATCATAGGTATGATTTGCTGTTTGAAATGTGCTTTGAAAATGCTGATAGATAGAGGGATGATTATCTGTTTTGTTTTTGTTTTGTTTTTTTATTCTGATATATCTTTGTAAATCAATGCTATTTTTGAAATTTGTAACATTCACCTTCAAATAGATAAATTTAAGAGAAATTTAAATGATGTGTATTTTTTTAAATAGCGACTGTTTGTTCCGTTATGAGCAGATAGTAAGCTATTGTTTCAAAAGACAAAAAAAATATCAAATCATATGTAGAAATTGTGGCACAAATAAATTTTAATTTATTAACAATATTTTATTGTAATCTGTAGCTGTCCCTCAATTACATCTTCTCTAGCCAAGGGTTTCTGATCCGCTACTCTCCTCACAAACCCTTGGATTTTTGAGGAGAGAAGCGGATCGAAAAACCCTTGGCTAGCGAAGATGTCATTACGAGTGCACATGTAGTTAAGAAGAGTGTTGTGTAATTTTGTTTTGTTTTTTTCAAGAAATGTTCACATTAACTATTGTAGAAATTTTTTTTTTGGTCAAACTTTTAATAAATTCTGTTTCATAATGCGTTTTCTCACTAAAAAGCATACTGATAGAAAATGAAACGAAAATTATTGTTACATGTTTGTCAAATATTTTATTTGTGTAAGTTTATAGAATGCAACTTTAATTAATACATCAATTAATGCTCGTACGACTCGTATTGATTTATTAATGAAGTAAATTAGATCTGGCCGTGTCATAAAGATTTCCGATACATTGAACTTTGTGAACTGTAACTAGAGTTAATGAAAGGAACCATTGTCATAAAAACCTACCTCTGTACCTTATTATTTATGGTTTTTAACTATATTATTCGTTTTGAAGTACTTATTTAATTAAAAATTAAGTAAATATTTTATTATAGTGACATATGTAAATATATAAATACAATAGTAATTACAATAGAAACAGATATACATTACACCCAGCCCATTCTTAAGCGTATATGACATATTGACATTTTCTAAAGAGAGGAAGATTGATTAAATTTGTACAAATATTTCTGTCTTACTCAAAAGAATGAATTTCAGAAATTTACAATTTGTCTTTGATTATTTTTCATTTAAGTGTTAAAATTTTTAGCTAGATCTACATTTCTATTTAAATTTACATTATGAAAGAAAGTTTCTCGGATGTTTTCGGAAAACTTGCAATACGTTGTAATGATATACATGTATGTAATATTAATAGTACTGATATGAAATATTTCTAACTACATAAATTGTGAATGAGATTTCCAAATTATAAGCGCCATATTATTAATTAATTGATAAATTAAACACATGGTAATAATTTAATGCATGTACATGTATATGGTTAGTGTTGCCAACGTGTCCGATTAAAAGTTTTCTTAAGTTCTCTTGCGCTTATCATTATTCCATCATTAATGTTTAATCTACATATTTAGAGTGGGAAAATAGGTATTTTTAAGCATATCAAGAAAAAGATAGCAGGCTAAAATGGATTTGTCGGGAAAAGATTTAAGTGTTGAATCGCTGTTATTATGTTTTGCAGACTATCGGTGCAGCATTTGTCTCTAAAAAGATACAAGCTCTTGGGAAGAGGGTAACGCTAAATATATGGGTAAGTCACGTGATCTTTATTAACTCTATTAATAAACTTCATTTTATGAAGTAACTGAAAAAGACTTTTTAATACCATTGCATTTTTTTCACTAATGGTGTGGTTTTGAAAAATTGCAGGACACAGCTGGTAGTGAAAGGTATCAGTCCATGACTAAAATGTATTACAGAGGGGCACGTGCAGCCATTTTATGTTACGATCTGACAGATAAATCTAGTTTTGATAAAATTAGATATTGGGTAGGGGAGTTACAAGAGAATGAACAGGTAAAACTTTGTACAAAAAGATTTGAAATGAATGAACGTCCTCGATTTACTATAGAAAATCACGAATGTTGGCTGACCCCTACCACATTGTATGGCTTTGTTCTTTGTATACTCATGAATTTCAGCGATAAAATTTGTTGAATCTTATGATTTAGATATCAATTAATGATCTGAGATGAAAAATTATGCTTAATTTGATTCTTCATTTTTTCACATTTTACCGGGGCCCATAAGTGCACTCGTTCTTTGTTATCTGTCGTTGGCGTTGTTGTCGTCGTAATTTTTTTTTTTTACAATTTCATCTTCTCCAGAGCAACTGGGCCAATTTCAACCAAACTTGGAACAGAGTATCCTTGGGTAAGGGAATCCAAGTTTATTCAAATGAAGGGCCAAATAAGGGGAAATAATTAAGAAAATATAAAAATTGGTAGGGTCATTTAAAAATCTTCTTCTCGAGAACCACTGGGACAAAAAAGATGAAACTTATATGAAAGCTTGACATAGTGTAGATTTAAGTTTATTCAAATCATGACCCCAGTGGCTAGGATGGGGCCATTATGGGCGATTCAAGTTTAACATGGCTATAAATAGGAAAAATATTTATAAATTTTTTTCTTAAGAACAGCAAAGTCATGATCAGTCATATTTATATGGAAGCATTAACAGGAAGTGTATATTCAGGTTTGTTCAAATCATAATCCCATGGGAAAGGGTGGGACCACTATCAAAGTTTTACATAGGAATAAAAAGGAAAAAAAAATCAAAATTCTTTTCCCAGGAACAGCAAAGTCATGATTAGCCATATTTATTTGAAAACATCCTCACATAGTGTAGATTCAAATTTATTTTCAAATCATGAACTCTGGGAGTAGGGAGAGTCTACAGTTTTACATTGGAATATTTTGTTTGTTTGTTTAACGTCCCTTTCGAGAATGTTTCACTCATATAAAGACACCACCACTTGCCGGTGGAGGGCTTCAAATTATAGACCTGTACTTGGCTCTTAGGGCCATTGAGTAGTGAGGGATCTTTTTCGTGCTAGCACCCACTGCGACACGGGACCTTGGTTTATACGGTCTCATCTGAGGGACTGGTCTCTTTGTCCCACATGCAGTGGGATTCGAATCAAACTGCGACGTAAGGATCAACTCATTACACCACGACTCTAGAGCGAATGCTCTAACCACTGCGCCACGCAGGCGACACAAAGGCATATATATGAAAAATAATCGGATGAAGAAAAAGAAGGGTCATAGTTACTCAGGTGAGCGTTGAGGCTCATGGGCGTCTTGTTTGAAATGTACCAAAAGTGTCATGGACAAGTTTTGCATTGTCGGATAGTAAATATTAAGTAAATACTGACTTTCTGTAAGATGCTCAGTATGTGCAATTTTTAAAGTTGTTTCAGAAGATTTTTATTTTCTAACTAAAGTTATATTGCATTCTGATGTTTGTAAACAAAATGTAGAATTTATAAATAAATTATTTTAAAAAAACTATAACAAATAGTTCTGTTTACATCACAGTTTTGCCGAATGTATATATGTGGAACAAAGAAAGATTTGATTGACAATGATCCAAAGACGAGAGCAGTATCTGCTGATGAGGCCCAAGTGATAGCACAAGGTATTCTGACACGTGTGTTCAGTGCGTTTATAAATGAGTTTATTTTGCTGCATAAAAACTTACAGTATGTGAATAAATGTAGCGTTGATGCCTCAAAATAATGGCTTACGATAAATTGTATTTGTATTATGTATTGACCATATATGAAAAAGGAATAATTTCCGGATTGCTTGTGTTAAAAAACAGACTTGCAAACAAAAGTAGTAGTTTAAGTGTATTAGGTTTATGAAGAATTACAAATGTACTTAGTGTTTGTTGACTACATCACAATCCAATCATCACGCTAGCTTAATTGGTTGATGACAACATCACATCTACAATCTTTAAACAAGATTTATTACCATGGTCATTTCAGACTTGCAAACGGACTTTTTTGAAACATCGAGTTTAACTGGAGAGAATGTAGGTAAGGTAAAATAATAATAGATTAGTTTTATAAACGTTCAGTATTCATTTACTTTTTTCAAAATGTATAAAGTATTTGACATATACTTATTTTGTTTAAGGTAATTTAATTAATTAATTAAATAATTAAAATTACTTTTCATTTTTTTTAAAGAGGCTGTATTTCAACGTATAGGAGAGGATTATATAAGGAACATGCATAGCTATCCAGAAAATCAACCCAAAACACAAGGTACTGTATCCTCTAAACGTCCCTTTCACCTGTATTTTCTGACAGTGAAAGAATGCATAAGCTCGGTTCATATAAATAAACGTGGAGAATCGTAAAATTCCTTTTTTTAAACAAATTAAAATACTTTTAACCTTTATCAAGCTATGTATTACAACCTTAGTTGTATGGTTTAGAATTTGATACAACTTTTAAACCTTGTATGCTCTGTAGCTTTGGTAAATCATTTTTGATTTTTCTTAAACACGTCTCGAGTCTTTCCATTTGTAAAGAAATCACGTCGCAGTTTGAGAAAACAAATCTCACTCACCATAATAACAATTTTAACTGCATTTGTAAATATTTTTAGGATAAAATTAATTGTAATTAAATCAAAGATCTGAATATAATCAAACGACACTGAAGCTCAATTCAGTAGACTAAACAGAATTTAAATAACTTGACGTTTAAACTTATACATTCTAAAATTATAATGATCAGGATTTGCATTTACAACCAGAATTGTAACGATTTGTTATTTAAACTCACATCTCTTAGACATATAAACAAACACAGTTGTTATTTATTTTATTCTTTTGAGAAATAAAGCTAGGGTGAATCTTTTCACGATCATTTGTCAGCGATCATTTACTTGAATATCCTGTGTTCCCTTTCATTATAATCATTAACTATTTGCTAACAAAAGATAGATATATGAATCAATATTTCTTTAACAGAATGTTACCTAAAATGTTAATCACATTACTTATTTTTCCTAGTAAAGTTTATTCTGAAATTCAGATTTCTTAAAAATATATTGACAAACAATAAGCATGTTTTATAAAATAACTCACATTTACCGATATTGCAAGTAGTCTGGGAAATCTATACCTTGATATTTGCCCTGTAGATATATTTTCCCTGCATTCATTTTGGAATTTATTACAGATAACACCCAAGAGTCATTTCATGTACACCAGAAAGAGAATACACAACCCTCTTCGTCATGTATGTCGTGTTTTAAAAGGTGAGAAAATTTGAAAATTTGTGTATTATAGATTTAAAATCAAAAAAATAAAATAAAGTGTTTGAAGACGACTTTTAAAAGGATGGAGAACACATTGATCTGCTAAAGCTGTTGATTGACACCTGACCCATAGCTTTTCGAAATGAACTCAGCTGTGTCATCATCTTTGAATTTCAAACACTGTTTTAGCAGATGATATCTAGTTAGCCCACTTGTACAGTACAAATTTTTATTTTATTTTTGTATATTTTAATAAGAGATTAAACTGATTCTCATAAAGGTGCATGCAAGTTAAGGGTCTTTGTTCACATATTCTTTCAAAGAAATTATTTCTTCAAGGAAGTCTGATTTATTTCATTTTATTCTTTAAATCTGAATATACAATTAATTTATATTATTAAAAAACTGATATGTTTTGATACTCAACAAAAGAATGAATTTTCACGAGTGTATTAGTCACTCAGGTCTTATAACATTTCATCATAACTTCTTATATCTTATGTAAAACATTTTGTTTATTTCTAAATTTTCCATGGCTATGTTGTTGTTGTTGTTTTTTTTTGTACTAAATCAATGATTTATATAAACGTTTGTATTTAAATTAATACAAATTTTCAAAACATTGAAACCCTTTCTTCTTTCTACTTTAACATTGCCATATGACTTGTATTTACAGGTGAAAGTAAAGGATGAAACGATAAATGTTTTATTTATGGAGATGAAAGATGTGAACTTGAGTGAAGTGTTCAAGGATAGTGAATGTATGGGAAATAACCGTAATGATTATATGTCTATTGAGCTTGTTAATTATTTTTTATATTCTCTTTGTCTGTCTTTGTAAATAAATTTCAAACAACTGTATTTTCTTGGGGATAAACTGAAATGCTTCAAAAACACAATGTACAAAAAAAATTATTTTTCTTTAATTTCGATGCATCTGAAAGATATATAGTCTGTGTACGTGTGGAATAATATGGTATTTCAGGCAGAATAGTAAATGTGCGATATTTTTAGTGGTCTAGGTGTTTGAAGTATTGTTTTATTTAATGTTTTTAAACAAATGAACAAATTCTTTAAGCAGTCTGTGATTAATAAATATGATTGAACATATTTTATGTAATAAAATTTTGAAAGGTTCGTTAATTATGAAGAGGCTTGTTGTAGTTATAATGTTATATTATAGTTTAAAACGTTACATTGAAATATTGTGCGAATCGTTTTATGGACATTTATGTCAACGGGTTAACAGGTGTTTAAAAAGCAGTCAGTATATCGGGTCTCAATAGCTCAGTGGTTAGAGACCTTACACGGTACGCCAGAGGCCCCGAGATCGAGTCCCGATTGAGCATTGATTCTTCACTACCTGTAACATTTAGTTGAATACCATCTGGAAAATGCGTCTTCAATACAACGCAGCTACGAAAAAATGGACAAAATATGTCACTATTTATAAGGGAAACACGACTACGGAACACTCCAAGCAACAGTAGTATGAGGCGTATCGGGTCTACATCGTTTTTTCCCTTTGTTTTTTGTTTTTTATTTGAAACTATTTTCGTTTTTTTAAATGTTAAGCTTTCTAAAATAATAAGAATTATGTTTGATTTCATTCTTTGTGGAGCTTGAGGCTTTTCACAAAAAATGTACTTTTAGTTATTCCTTTTTATATTTAAAATGATGTTGTATTTAATTGATCGTGAAATATGTGCTTTTCAAGTATTGGTTCCTACAAAGAGTACATGCTTGTTGTTTTTTCTGAACTGAGCACTAGCTTGAGTGTAAAACGTTTTAAAGCTCTAATTAAATGCTAGTCTATTTTGTATCACTACTGTTTTAATATTTTTTTTCATGAAGTATTCAAAAATAAAAGGAAAAACTATGTTCTTTCTGTTAATGTTCCTGAACATAAGCTAAAATGAACTTTTCTCTCTGTTTTCCTATTTTCATCACACAATCACCAGCCTAATATTTAGACATTTTTGCACCTTGCATAAACTGTAACAGAGAACGAGAAAACATAATCTCTTTTACGCTTACATTTCTTCTTCATGATGTTTTACAATATATATATATATATATATATATATATATATATATATATATATATATATATATCGTAAGCAAGGTTTTTTGACTTGCTTAGATGACCAAGCGGTCTAGCTCGCTGTTCCTGTACTGCTAGGAGACAGATTCCATAGGTGAAGAGTTAAACCCCGGATTGGTGCGGTAGTGAATTTCTTTATGTATTGAATTTCTCTGTGCTTTCTATATTAATGTTTCTTCACTAAGGGCAGTTATGTTAGTTTAAGAGTTATTGTAAATTAACTGTGCTTTAAAAATAAAATTAATGTCATTACAATGTGTATCGGTAACGATCCTCATATAAAACAAAGGCCAAATAACTGTGCAATAATATATTAGTTTTGTTAGTTAAATCATGTATTGTCTTAAGATTGATTAATTGTATGTTGTTTAACGACCCATTCGAGAATTTTTCACTCATATAGAGACGTCACCGTATGTCGGTGAAGGGCTTCAAATTTAGATCTTTACTTGGCACTCAGGGGCCATTGGGCGGTGAGGGTTCATTATCGTGCCAACGCCTACTGTGACACGGAACCTCGGGTTTTAAGGTCTCATCCGAAAGACCCGTGACTTTCACTTCTAGTGCCGGGACAACGCAAAATCTATTTTTAGAACAGTCGGTCTAAGTCCCTCGCTTGGTGAAGGAACAGTCACTACCCATGTTAACGTCGTAGGTTTGACGCGGCGCGGCGAACGAGAATCGAACTCAGTCTCCCGATCAAGAAGCGAATGCCCTACCACTAGATTAGCGTGATCTGTTTTAAAAGTAACGCTTAAATAATATAGCAACAAGTAAAGATAGATTAGATAATAGATAAAAAGAAATGTCTGTGACATTTATACGGAGTCATATAATTAACGAAGCCTTTATTAGCAGCATTGAGATGCTTTAATGTGTTTTTCTTGTATATCGCCAGACTGATAATTGCTAAGTAAAGTAATTCTTTCTTCGTGTTTGTGATTTCTTGAGCGGCAGGCATTCACTGAAGTTACTTTTATACAATTATTTTCTTTTCGTGTTTTTGACATTCAATATAGAAAAAAAATAACATAGTATGCTTGCTCAAGTATTTTTATTTAAAAATAATAAATTAAGGGGTTAATTATCTTTATTGATTTCCAAATCCTCATAAAAGGCCTCTCTGGTCAGGGTTGGCCGGGAAATACCAGTGGTGGGGATTACCAGTGGTAAATACTGGTATTTCCCGTCCTGGGAAATACTACAAATTTTCTCTAAACTGGGAAATATTGGAAAATACTGGGAAATACAAAGTTAAAGATTTTTATTTCTTTAATTCATTCAATCTTATACAAAATTCAAAAATCAAATTAACATAAAAACAGAATATGAATAATATTGAATATGTCTCAAATTGCAATTTAACATATTTAGAATGTATCATTACTCCAGGTCCCATACCCATAAGCATTCTGAAACATTTCCCTGCCTGTATGAAACTGAAGTTTTCCAATTCAAGTTTCTTTTCGGTTTTGAAAAATTATTAAGTTTAATATTAATTATAAATCCAAAAACAAAACAAACTCATTTTAATCCTTCTATGAACACTGGAGTTATTACAATCAATCATGTTGTTTTAACAAATTGCTCTGGACAGTTTTGTGCTCCTGTTTTGAGAGATAATTACCTTGAGTAGAACTGTAAGGCTTCTTCTTAGGTTTAATATTATTATCAATTTCTGTGCAGTATCTGTTTGTATCATATTGTATATGTTACAGTAAATATGTGTAATCAGGAATTTCATGTATTTCCTAAACCATTCAGTAAATACATGTATTTAATAGCTGTTTTAGGAAATACATGTAATTACTGCATACACTAGGAAATTCATGTATTAACCGAAATTTTTAGCCAATTTTACACGTTTTTACTGAACTAAGCTGTATGACAATACATATAATGTATGTTTTGAAATATTCAATGAGTGTTCAAATACTAGTATGCATGCTTTTAAATTAGCACTATATAATATTTTTTATAAAGCTGAAATTCGTCATAGATTAATTTCTGGTTCTGGGATCTTTGGGTTCATTTCATCATTACATCTGACTCAAGCATGAAACAAATGACACTCATGACTGGTATATGAATATACTGTTTTATAATTTTATAAATGAATTACTTGGAAACCAGAATTTTTTTAAATCAGGGACAGTGATACCAGTTAGATATCTTAGCCAATAAAAGGGTACTACATGTCAATGAAATGTTTAGCTATTTCTTATTTCCCAGTATTTCCCGAGAAATACCAGTAATTCCCGGAAATTACCAGTATTTCCCACCGTCCGGGGAAATATGAGTATTTCCCAGTTTTTTGCCAACCCTGTCTCTGGTTGACCAAAGAAATGTAAAAGGATTGAAAAATCTAAATTATAATGTGGAGATGATAGTGCAGAGAAAATAATGTCATTGTTTTAATCTCTACTTTTATATTTATGTACATTAGATGCAATTTGTTATAAAAAGATAATGAGGATAATCTTGGCATGCAAGGTCTTTTTTGGCACTTTTCTTTTGATTTAAAAAAGAATTGAAAAGTCTGGCAAGTTTAGTGGCATCTAGTATGCCTTGAGAATTATTGCAGTTTGCATTTAGTTGATATTGCACAACACATTGCTAAACAAAGATGATTGAAACAAGGTTCGTCCTCGTGTGCCATACTGAGTATATAAAACGCAAAGAATAGCCTGAAACAATAAACCCTTACCTATCCTGTATACCTTTTTGTCATTTACACAAAGCATAGAAATACCTCTTTAAAATTGGACGTTTTGGACCTTATATCACCTCTTGAAGATGCCGGTGGTTGGTACAATAAACAACGAGAAGCAGATGTGACTTTTTAATTAATCAAGTTTTTTAATGAGTCCAGATAATGTTAACGAATAGAATGATCTGTCCAAACATTAAGCAAACTTGTGGCTTATCATGTTTAGCAGGAAACCTAACAGACAAGTTTGTAACGGCTGTACTAAACAACTAACCTTTACTTTTAACGGGGAAAAAACTTATGTAATGAATCTACATGTTCATCTATATTGGGGATTTCCAAAAGAATAAATTCAAATGGTTATATCCATCCTTGAAATTCATATATTTCTTTTGAAGTTAATTTAATGAGGTTAGATCCTGATATTTAAAGTCTTAAGTATTTTTTGTCAAGTATATTTTTAGTATCTACACACAAGCTTAATCAAAAATCAAAACAAAAATATCAATATACTTCTTTTGGCACTACGGTACATTTATTATGACCTTTTTGAACTGAAATTTTGTCTTATTTATAATTCAACCCTTCTAAGTTTTCCCTGCAATATTTTTTATCCAAGTAAATCATGGGAAGAAATATACTATTATTCTATCATTAAAACATTAAAATTGTGATGGAGAAAATTTTCAAATTGCTTTGCATAATTAATTATTTGACCTTTCTGCACTCACAAAATGTCATTTTTCTGGCATTAAAAATTTAACAAGCAAGAAAATTATTTTAAAGTCTTAAACTTTTGCTGAATTTAAGCATATTGATCAAAGTTTTCTTACATATTCAGAAAAGAAAATCAAAATTGAGGGTCTATGATGTAAATTTTTAGATATTACCAAAAAAGTGTTAATTTTAAGTTAAAATTGGCTCAATTTTTCCCTGGACTTTCAGAATATATTTACTATACTTGTCACAATATGATTCATAAAAACGAATTTATTAGATATTTCAAAACCAGCATAAAACATTTTATCGCACAAAATAGCTCTGTGTGCAACCAGCATGGGCAAATAGTATTCTAAACAGTACTGTAAATACTTCAGAAGTGAAAAATTGACCATTTTCTTACAAAAAAAACCTTCCGCCAGAAAATATAGTTCCAGGCTTATTCCTATTTGAATGGAATTTAATTTTTAATTGGATATGGTTTAATTTCCATTGTAGAATCCAAATTTAATGTAAGAACTTAAATATGATGCAGAATTTCAGAAAGAAAGGTCCAGACGAAAATCTGTTCAGAAGCCCAGGATCGAACCTCCTTAATTGCAAAAAAATTATTGTTATTGTTGAAATCAATTTCAAGGTTGTCTGGTAGTAGTCCAGTCAATCTAATGTTTCACCCGGAGCAAAATAATTTTTTGCCAGCAGTCTTTAACATCCTCCAAATATATCATATCAAAACTAAAAGAAAATGTAATGAGGCAAAAGTTTTAATTATGTAATTACATTTTAATGATACTTACATTGATTAATCGAGCTGACATGCCACTAGACTGCTGTAGTCGCAATGACGCTTGTAAACAACCTCCGAAAATCAGGTGTATTTTATTTTACAAAGAAAACAAATAGAATGCATTCCTTCAAGATATTCTCAAAATACAACATAAATACACAAATAATGTCAGAGTGTCTAAGTTCATCCAGTTGACCAAACTGCCTTATTATGTATTGGAAGCTGTTCCAATCCTCACTATTATGTATGCAGCATTGCATATATATTTGAAAATTCAATACAAATGCAAAATTACATGTTACCATTGACAAAGTTATTTAATTGCCTGATTTTGATTAAGTAATGTTAATTTACACTTCACAATCGAGAATTCTCTTTCAAATCATCGAAGGAACATAATTTTTGTATTAAGATAATACATATTTAAAACTGATTAGTTTTCATAACCAAAGTTTACATTTTGAAAGTAATTTAAGAATTCCACCACTTTGTACCATATAATCTATTATTTCAGTGCATGTGAGGAGAGATGCATTATTTGACAGAAAACTGCATATT